GAAGTGCCTGGAGGCCCCACTACCTTTTTTTTTTTTTTTTTTTTTTGTATTCCGTCGTCTTCCCCGAGAATTTCCAAAGATGAAAATTAGTAGTATATGATGCGGGTTGTGTGACTTTTTTTGTAATCGTAAGAATTCTCACATAATTGAATGATTTTTGAACATACTTCCGAATAGCAGATTTTAAAAATTTATGAATAATTTATAAAAAGTTTTTATTCCTACAATTCCTATATTACCATTAATAAAAAGAATATATTTTTGACGAAGTGAAGATTCGCACTTCGTCACAAAACTCCGAAAAAATAAAGTTAGATTTTTTTATTTAATATAAAATGTATGGAAAAAGAATAATATCTGATTTTGAACATTATTTGATTGATTTACTAATTGATCCACAAAGCTGTTGTAAAATTAATTTTGAATTTAAAATTAAAGGAACCGTAAATTTTGTATTTATTTATCACTTAAAAGAATATGACCGATATCATAATTTGATATATGAAACTAATATAATATTTGAAGATAACAAACTTACAAGCTTCGAACATGAAAATGATATAATATTCGAAGATGAAAAAAAGAAAGAGATTGAAAAGCAATTCAATGAATGCCTTTTAAATACATATGCGCACATTATAAGACATAAAATGAAATTAATTCCTTATTAATCAAAAATATTTTTTATCTTTATATAAAGATGACAAATAGAAAATTTTTCATTTTTGATATCTATTATTGCCCAAACGTGTATGGACTACATGTAGAACTTAAAATAAAGGAAAGGGATACATATGAAGAATATATAAAATTTTGTAGAAAAAACGATTATATACCGGAGTCAAAGAATATATTCTTGCAAAATATAAAACCTATTATAAAGGTCGGAAAGATTAAATTTCCGTGCATAGTAGAAATATACTTAGATGATGTATGTGACGAATTTCACAGACTAAATGAAAAAAAGACTTTATATAAAGATTTTGTTAAATTTCTTATTGAAAATTATTTGAAGCCTGAACATGTGATTCCAAAATATCACCGATGATATTTTAAAAAATAAAATAAATTATATTTTTTAAATAAAAAAATAATTTTTATCTGATAGAAATAATACCTACAAATGACGGTATATAAAAAATTGACTTCTTACGTAAAATTAAAACTAAGTTAAATTTATTTTTTTTTTTTTTATTTTATAATAAATGAGTATAACAACTAATTCATTGAAATCTTTAAAGTTCACTAATTCAGAATTAGAAAATATTTTAGAAAATTTTGGAGACGGTTCTTATCCAACATATATGCAGAATGTGAAAGAGTTTTCCAGATTGTTGAATGAATTTAAATATAACGGACCAATTACTAAAAAGGCTATAATGAGATATTTATATCCCAAAAAAGTTGAAAAACAGGAGAATATTCCTCTTTATGGTCCAGAGGACCTGGGCTCAGAGAGCCTTGAAACACCTCCTGAATATTTTGAAGAAAAAATTAAACAAGATGAATATTATAACGATGAGATTGAGAAATTGGAACAATTAAGAAATGAAATAGATGAAAGAATTAGTGAATTGAGAAATGCTGAGAATGAAGTAGAGGGTTTAATGAATATCCCAGCTTCAGAATCAGAAGTTCAAAAATCACATGAGGAAAGATATAAAAATTACTTTTTGGAATCTACTAAAAATTTATTAGATGGTGATATTGACGAAACACTTTCAGAAGAAGGCACAAAATTTATTCATAAACATAAGCTTCAGTTTATTGACGATGGAGATTATCCATGTATATTACTTTCACCTCCTCTTGATTCTGAAAAATTCAAAAAAGCACTGAAAAATGTAACATATGCAACAAATACGATTAAGAAAGAAGACCATGATATTTACACAAATTATTATTTAAATAAATGTACAGGTGTTGATAAAGTTTTTGATTTGTTAGATAAAATATCAAAAGAAACAATTGGTACATATAAAATTTTATGCGATTGTGGTTTCATTATTGAAGATACCAATAATGTTTCATATGAAAGAACAGCACCGAAGGAAGACGAAGTTGAAAGGTCTATACCATTCGTTATTAAGAACATAAAAGATATGAAAACTTATAAACATTATATTTATTCATTTATTTCAGAAAAAATGGAAGCAACCCATAAAACATCATCTCATCATTTTATAGCTATTCATACATTCCTTTTCAAAGTTGTGAAATTAAATAAGACAGGAATTAGATTTAATGTATCAGGGTACGCATTCTTGAGTAAATTAAAATGTATTCGTCACGTCGCAGATGATAAAAATTTATGTGTTCTTAATTCATTTTATGGACTTTAGCCCTGGACTCTCTGAGTCTCGGACTTTAAAAAAAATAAACTTTATTTTTATTTATTTTTTAATTTTTATTCTTACATAAATGAACAAAAATGGAACAGCTAAAATGAATGATAATCAAATAAGAGCCGAAGGTAGAAGGTTATTTAAACGCTTCTATAACATTCCTGATGGTGTTAATCCTAAAACTCGTAGAAGTTATTTAAATGAAGCCATAGATGCATATGAAGGATTTGACATTTCATCAGAAAGTGAGAGGTTAGCAAGAATGTTAAACGTTAATATTGATTTTTATTATTGTGACCCTCAACCAGAAGACGTAGACATTAACAAGGTAGACTTTCCATTAGTGGAATCAATAATGATAGATCCAGAATTTGAAACAGTAAATATTTTATTAACACAGAGTCCATGTGGAAAACTTCACGCTGACAGAATTACAGACGTTGAAGCACTCACAGGATATAAAGTTTGCCCCTTTTGCAAAGAAGAAGTATATTCTATCCGTGATGATCCAGAAAGGAAAAACCAAAGAAGATTTTTAAAACATTGTGAGAAATGTAAAGAAAATAATGGAAGATTAATTCAAGACGTTCAATTGCAAAACACACAACAACCATATGCACCACATATCACGAAACAGAAGATATATCAATGGCTATTAGCACATAATTTGCAGGAATATTATAAACCAACAAGATATTATATTACTTTTGACTTCGAAACATTAGAGACTAAAGAAGAACTTCAACTTTCTGAATGTGCAACTTTGAACGCTTACTTAAAACCATTTATGGTATCATCAACTGTCAAAATAAAGCCGCAAAGCGGCGAGGTCGTAGACCGTGATAAAACATTTACGAGGAATTTTTGCTTAACATCAAGTGATTCGTTCATCTCTGATTGGATTGAATTTTTATTTTCAACCTGTTCATTAGTTGCTAAATCAAATATTGAACAATATGAAGAATTAATGAATACATTAAATGAGAAACAAAAGGAAGCAATGAAGAGCTTTTAGATGAAGAATTTAATAAAGTGAATATCATTGGTTTTAATTCGGGAAAGTTTGATTTAAATTTAATTCTTCGTGATTTAAATACTGCAAAATGGAAGATAAAATCAATGCTGGGTTCTTCTTCTCAATTTAAGCAAGTCATAGTAAAGAAAACAAACTGTCCATATGAATTAAGATTTATTGACATCAGAAATTATATAGCGGGTGGAACATTAGACCAATTCACTCAAGATTTCGGAAACAATAAATCACGTGTTAAATCCTTTTTCCCTTATCAATTCATCACATGGGAGAATTACGAAGATGAATTATATAAAAAGGAACCATTCACTCAAGATTCATTTTATTCAGCATTAACACAAGAAACAATATCCGATTCAGATTATCAAATATATCTCAATGATGCTAAAAATTTTGAGAATAGATTAGAATATTTTATTCATTATTGCAATAAAGACGTTGAAATTATGATTGACCCAATTGATAAAATTATCGAAGAAACATTTGTTTATAAAATTGACATGCTTCATAATCTTTCTTTATCATCGAATGCATCAATGATTCGTTACGCGTTAGCATATAAGAACTTCAATCCTAACGAAACATATCCAGAAGAAGAAAATGTGGAATCAAGTTTTGAATTAACAAAAAGTATTGGAAATATAAAATTGAATCATATAAGAAACAAGATGAAAAGGCGAAAAGAGATACCAAAAATAATGTTTCAATGGATGATTCAATACTATCACGATTTAATCCTTTCATCTAAATGCAAAATGTGTGGTAAAGCGTTTACATATGTAAATAAACCAACATTGGATAGAATCGATAATGAAAAACCACATACCAAAGAAAATTGTCAGTTAATGTGTTGTTATTGCAATGTCGTAAAATCAAATAAAGATGAAGATGTTCAACGTTTAAGAATCAATTTAAGAAATTATGCATTAAAAAATAATTTACCAATGACTTTAGATTCAGTTGAAGCTTATCACATTCTCCGTAATGGAATTACTGGTGGTCTATCAAATGTTCAACATCGTGTTAATCTTAAAGGAATCACGCACATTAATAAACTTTCATATAATCCAGAAACTAAAACTGTATCAAATGAGGACACCACCAACATTATGACTCATTTCGTTGGAGTTGACTTTAATTCATTATATCCTTCATCATTTTCATCTAATCCTCATGATTTCATTCAATATACTGACCATAAAATGTATATGCCGGGAAGATTGAATGGTGTTATCATTTGTGATACAGCAACAAAGAAAGCAAAAGCACTGGGAATATTAAGAAAAAAATACTTTATTCGTGGCTGAAGTAAAGGGTCACATTGATGAAAAATACATTAATGATTACATAAACTTTTTACCGATAATAAGAAACTTAGATATTATCACAGATGAAAAAACAATTGGCAGTTTTATGTATAATTACATGAAATCAAACAATCTACCAGTTGACCAGAAACAGAGAAAATTAACTCAGTTAGCATCAACACACAACCAATATCAACCATTTTCTTCTTATTATCTTGGTATCTAATAGACAGATTTCATTTTATCATTGATGACATTCAATCAATTTTAACATTTACTAAAAACACTTGTTTTAATGAATTTGCGAAAGAATTTATGAACGAAAGACAAAAGGCTGAATTAGAAGGAAATAAAGGAAAAAGTTTATTTTGCAAGATTTCACTTAATGGATCATATGGTTACGATGCAATGAATACACAAAATTACGCAAAGACTAAAATAATGAATGCACAGAAGGCACGCGTTGCATGTATGTCAAATAAGTTTAAAAACATAAGAGAAATAGGTGAGGATACATATCAAGTGATGCTTAAAGATAGATTTTATAGATGTGATACATGTTTACAAGAGGCATTCTTCACTTTAGATAATGCTAAATACTGGTATTTGGTTTTCATTTATGATTTTATGTATAAATGCATGAATGTTAATCGTTTTCATTTCATTGAAGGTGATACTGATTCATCTTATTGGGCAATCGCTGGCGACCCAAATCTTCCTAACACTCAAGCATTTCAAGCAATTGTTACTGATAAACAATTTTATGATAAAAACATTTTCAAATTCGCACCATTTGATTTCTTCTGTTTTGATGAGAAATTTAAACCTAAATTAAAGAATAAAGCTGAAGAAAAAGCACATGAGAAGAAGTTATTGGGTTTAGCAATTGAGAAACAAGGTGATAACATGGTTGCTTTATGTCCTAAGTGTTATACATCATTCAACGGTTCAATTGATGGAAGTGATTTTAAAAAGATTGCACAAAAAATGAAAGGTGTTAGTTTACGACAAAATAAACAATTAACACCTAAAAATTATTTGGATATAATAAATGATAAATTGATATTTGATGGTCAGAATATTAATTTACAACTTAAAAATGGGTCAATGACTCGCTTAACAATTGGTAAGACTGCATTAACAGGAGCACACACTAAGGCTGTATGTTGTGAAAATGGATGTTGTATGCCATTTATTTAAAATTTAAAATTTATTTTTAATAAAATGCCACAGAAGAGACAAAAGGAACCGTTAATGATGGTTTTGATACTATGATTCAAAGAGGTGGGCACCCTTAAAACATTGATTTTATTTTTATATAAATGGATAACACAGATTTAAAAATTTTAATTGCTGATTTAGTATTAATCAAAATTTTCTTGATTATTATGATTTAAAAGCATATCTCCAAAAATATGAAACAATATAACGGGTGATGATATGGAATATTATTATCCATATTATAAAAATGAAATTTTGAAATATCATAATAAAATAATTTCTGAAATTAAAGACAAAATTAAAAATAATGAATATTCAAAGGGAAAAACTAAATCACAACTTAAACAGTTGAAAGATTTCAAAAATAAAGTATTAACAGAAGAAGATATTGATGAATTATATAAATTATATAATCCTGAGCCACAAAAACCAAAGCCGAAACAAAACAACAGCTAAAGGTGCAAAACGCCCAGGTCCTTCAGACCATAAATGATGCACAAGCTTTAATTTATGATTCATTAGTTAAACCATATTCAGCCCGACTTTTAAATGAAGATCAACTTTTGGAATTCATCCTTCAACATAAACTCGAAGCGGGAAAGTATATCAAACCTTTATATACAGCATATTTAAAACAAATGAATAGAATACATCCAGAATTAATGAAGGGGAATGAAATCCAAAATCAAAGCAGATAAAATTAAACCACTTGCAACACACAAAACCTCCAACGACAGTACCTCCTCCTCCTTCAGTTAATCCTTCATCATTCACTTTATTATATCTATTTCAAACATTAAAGAAGCAAAAAGATTTTAAAAAGGATTTCAAGATATTAAATAAACCAATTGACCCGAAAATTCAACCGTTAAAGGAAAAATTTAGTCGCCCTTCATTTGCTCCATATCCATATTCATACGAAATCGATCATCTGGAATATTCAAAAGGAAAAGTTACTTATTTATTTGCCATTAACATTAACACTAGATATTTATATTGCATTCCGGTGAAAGGGAAAACAGAACAGGAAACAAGAAGAGCTATTCAATACTTACTAGATCATGAAAGAGTAGATAATATAAGGGGTGATGGTGATAAAGGATTTCAGGCAGCTATGGCTCATTATTTCCCACAAATTAATTTTTACTTCTCATCTTCTCCATATACGTTTCATAATAAAATAGTTGATGCCGTAATGAGAACTCTTAGAGATGCGTTAGGGGTTAATGGTCAGATATACTGGGATGGAAATCATGACTCCATCATACAACAGTTAGTATATTATTATAATAATACATGGCATAGAACTATAAACATGAAACCGGTGGAAATGAAAAATGATATTTCAAAAGAATGGGAATATATTAGAAAGCAAATGGAAGGGTTGAATGATGTTAAACGTGAACAAATTAATTCGGGGCTCATGAATTTTAAACAAGGGAATAAAGTTTTAATTCATCTCGATTATGGAAAAACTGATAAATCAATGACAAAAAGAAGACGAAGATTTGACACAATAGCTGAATTTGTTAGATATATTAACGGCAATGCATTAGTTGAAGTTGACAATAAATTAATAGAAATTCCGATTTATTTTATTACTCCATTATATTTAAATAATATTTAATTTTTTTTATTTCGTAAGAAATGAGTGACAACAAAGCAGTCAAGAGTCCAGACGATGAATATAAAAAGAAACTAAACAGAATTAAATCAAAAATATGCTATTACGAAAAGAAGCCGCAATGCGGTGGGGTTGAAAACGATAAAGAAATAATCGAAAAATTAGAAACTTACCGTTCAATCCTTAAACTGAGTGAAGCAAAAATAAAAGAATTTAATAGAATAAATAAATTGATTGGAAGAGATGAATTTAATAAAGATGAATTTTTAAACTCAATCCAAATTTAATTTTTATTCCTCTTCGACAACGTCTCTCTTTCCATCATTACTGCATAACCACATTTTCTCAGTTTTAGTGGTTTGTTATTTTTAGCAAGTTCTCGCATCATTTTTATCGTTTCCTCCCTTGTTATGATTCGTGGTAAATTTTGAGCTTGTGGGGTATCCATTTATGATAAAAATAAAAATTTGTCATCAGTTATTTTATCGTTAATGTTTTCAGGTCATTCAATAATGAATTATTTTTGAAGAACTGAAGGGGTCACCAGGTCACCGGGTCACCAGGTAATTTAACTTCTCTGAAAAAATGAGACAACATGACATTTAGACAACAACACAGGAGGAAGGCAGTTATGAATTATTTTTGAAGAACTGAAGGGGTCACCAGGTCACCAGGTAATTTAACTTCTCTGAAAAAATGAGACAACATGACATTTAGACAACAACACAGGAGGAAGGCAGTTATGAATTATTTTTGAAGAACTGAAGGGGTCACCAGGTCACCAGGTAATTTAACTTCTCTGAAAAAATGAGACAACATGACATTTAGACAACAACACAGGAGGAAGGCAGTTATGAATTATTTTTGAAGAACTGAAGGGGTCACCAGGTCACCAGGTAATTTAACTTCTCTGAAAAAATGAGACAACATGACATTTTGACAACACAGCAGGATTAATGCAAAAATAAATTCCAATCATACTTTATAAAGCTTCATTTACAGGTATTTCATCGTCAGTAAATGAATCCTCATTATCGTTTGGTTCAACCTGTTTATATAATCCTTTCATTTCTTCTTTCAAAACATAATACCATGTTTGTTTACCATCTATTTTTCTTTGTTTCCTATCACATTTATCCTTAATGCTCATTTGAAAATTCTTGTCTTTCATGTCTGATGGTTTGCAGAATAGAGCATTTTTACACGTCATACCTGTACACAATTCATCATAATGTGTATTTATCCATACATCTAAAGGATTTGTTGATAATTCAATTAAATCTTGTTTGGCTTCAGTCATCGGTATGATTCGTACATTAAATGATGAAAGGTCGTAATTGATAAAATATGTTAAAAGGTTATCATAAAATTCCTTTGTGCATGAATTCATCAAATTCTTGAAGTAATTAAATTGACCCTTGAATTTACCATTGACCCTTAAAACCACGTATCTTCTGTCTCCAACTTCAATTTTGACAGGGTAGACGTTGTTAGTTACGAAAATGAAGTTTGCAACATTCTGAGCAGTTCTTCTGGGTTGATTCTTTTCATTAATTCTAATCTCATTATCCGTAATAATTGATTTCAAAGCGTTGAAGTTTGCAAGTCTGTCTTCACCTACATTCTTGAGTTCATTAAGTACAAGAAACATTTTATTCTCAACTACTGAGTTGAAATTACCCGTTAGCTCACTTATTTCAGTAATGTTTTTACATGAATAACCAGCGAGAAGTTCAGAAATAATGTCTGTAAATCTGTTTTTACCTGTTCCCTGAAGTCCTTTCAAAATAATTGCTGTTTCATTCTTGATTCCAGGATGTTGAATCATTGATGCAATCCAGCCGAGAAGGTATTTATACACTTCATCGTTATTATCACAAATGGCTTCTTTAATGAAATTCATAAACATCTCAATTTTTGAGTAATCAGGCTTTTCAAGAATGTTGTATTTATAACCCTGAAACGTTGAGAAAACATCTGGAGAATCAGATTTAAAGCAAACACCCTTAACGGTTAATGAGGATAATTGATTTAATAGTACGTCCCATGCTGTTATGGTTTTACCTTCTTCTTTAAATAATTTAATCATTTTGAGTGACTCTTTCATGTTTGATTGAAGAACGAATGATATTTGATTCATTTTGTCGTGGATATTATAGTCCTTTTGAATGAAATATTTATTTCCACAATCTACAAAACGGATTACACGTGATAAATCCTCAATTACTTCAGAACTGTTTTTATACTGATGATTTTCAGCCTTGCGTCTAATATCTGTTATCAAAAACGAGTCATCAAGTTTTATATCAAATGTTATTTTTGGCTTACGTAATAAAGGTAAAACATATTCATCATAATATTCCTTTTGATAAAGTTTTAGAATCTTCACCAAAACAAATGGAGAAGTCATTAAATGTGCATATCTACTACGTGCTTTTTCAAAATTACTTTTTGCATTTTCAGTTAAATTGCAGAAATTATAAACGTTATCGTATGCTTCATTAATTAAATGATTAGGTAACGAATTAATTGCTTGAAACAGTGTGAATAATGTAACTTCTTTTTCTAAATTCATGTTTCCACCATCATTATGTACTTCAAAATCACAGATGCCATCGACTATGCTCTGGGCAAGTTTATCGTCAATGTTTACATCTTTGTTTTCATTCATGATAGTCTTTATTTCTTCGTTCTTCTGTTCAACTCTTACCTTAATATTCAAATCATTTAATATATCATTCACTGTTCTAGTTAATGTTGAATCATAACTTCCACGAATGAATGAGTATGTATTGATTGGTTCTGTTGCATTCTTGCGAACTCTTGAATCAGCCATAACTACTAAAGAACGCTTTGAATCATCCATAGAAGTCATGATATCGATATCATAATCATTGCAGGAATAACATTTAATCATTCTGTTCGAAACTGCATAGAAGAAATTAGTGTTGCAATAAATGTGAAGACCTCCTGAAGCGGTTTTAACGATAACATCTTTATCCGAAAGTTTTGATAAAATATCTTTTCTAACTGTTTCTTTAAGTTCATCATTGTATGATTTATTGATATCAACATCTATAATCGTTAAATTTGAAATTTTATTTACTAATAAAGCCACACCAGTTTTCCTTCCTCTTCCTCCATCATGTTTGAGGTAGTTATGTAAATCAATCTTGTTTTCACCAATTCTTTCGTTGAGGGTTTTAGTTTCTGCCACAACTAATTCCTCAGCTAATGAATCAATAACTTTTTCATCAGAAACGATAAAGTTGCTGTTGTTGTTTGTTGCTGTCATTTATATAGGAATAAAAAAATAAAAATAATTTTAAAACTAACTTTATTTTTGGACTGCATCAAATTTTCGTAAATGTTGTCAAAATGTCATGTTGTCACATTTTTCAGAGAAGTTAAATGACCTGGTGACACATGGTGACCTGGTGACACCTTCAGTTCTTCAAAAATAATTAATTATTGAATAACCCGTGTTGTTGTCAAAATGTCATGAGTTAAATGACCTGGTGACCTGGTGACACCTTCAGTTCTTCAAAAATAAGTCATAACTGCCTTCCTCCTGTGTTGCCTAAATGTCATGAGTTAAATGACCTGGTGACACCTTCAGTTCTTCAAAAATAATTAATTATTGAATAACCTGAAAACATTAACATAAACATTAACGTAAACATTAACGTAAACATTAACGTAAACATTTATTTCTGCAGTTCATCCATTACTTCATTACCTAATTAATTACAGACATAAAATATATTTAGTTCATTCGGTAAGCCCAGACCTTTGGGTCAAGCACATTCATTGAACTCTATACCATGCGAATACAGTCATAAATGGTGGCATGTATTCTTTACTTTGTCCCGTTGTTTGTGTATATCCTGAAACGAAATGTGTATGGTTTCCTTCTCCCTGAGTGTCATCCCAGTAACAATTTATAGCAAACTTAACATCATCTTTAACATCATATCCTCGACCTTTTGTCATTCCTGACCAATCCCAAACATTACTGTGTGCGGGTAAATTTTCACCTGAAATCGTTTTACTTCCTCCTGTTTCCTTTGAAGAGTTTGCACAATACAAAAACCTGTCAACTATTTGTTCCCATGCACCAACACCAAACATTACTTGAGGACCTCTTGCATCCATAGATGTATAAATAGAACCTACTGGGTTCATTAAATCAAACATATGAGATATTATAGGATTGTCTCTTTTGAACTTAAGATATAGTGTAACTATTTCAGGTTTCTTCTGGTTTGTGTCAGAATATTTTTTATAATATAATCTTAAATCTATGTAATGACTGTGTGCGGGTAAATTTTCACCTGAAATCGTTTTACTTCCTCCTGTTTCCTTTGAAGAGTTTGCACAATACAAAAACCTGTCAACTATTTGTTCCCATGCACCAACACCAAACATTACTTGAGGACCTCTTGCATCCATAGATGTATAAATAGAACCTACTGGGTTCATTAAATCAAACATATGAGATATTATAGGATTGTCTCTAGTTAGTATACATATCAAGTGTACGGAGGCACTGCGAGCCTCCTTACACCTGATATGTGAATTTGACACTTTACAAAACCGTTAACGTATATTTTACAACACAAACACAAACACCAACTTAACCTTAAATATTTATAAAGCCGCCAACCACTTCACCTTACTACTGTAAAAATAAACGTTCTCACTTACAAAAGTATTGCAACTCTTCCCATTGCTGTGCTTCACACAATAGTTCATATTCTTCAGTATCGCTGCTGTCGCTCCAATCGTCAGAGTCAAAATCACTGTCATAGTTTATACCTGTAAGTTTTGACAAAGCTAATGAAACACGCTTACCGTTTGTATCGTATGCTTGTATAAACTTTCCATTCTTCATTCCTTCATAAACGCTCAAACTAACTTTACCCTTTCTCCCTCGTATCTGATAGAATGTATTTTCACGAGGAACGAAGAACAAATTCTTGAACTCATGACCGTTGTAGTTTGTTATCTCAATAGTTTTCGTCATTTATATAAAAATAAAATAAAAAATAAACTTAAAAATTAATGATATCACCACTCCCACACGTATGAAAACATCCATTTAAATTTAGGGTAGAAGGTTAGATCTAACCTCATTTCTACCCTCATTTCTACCCTGTTGAATTCATTGCTTTATAACTCTCTTCCTTTCTCCAACTCTTCTAACTTCTTCCTAAGTTCAGCAATGTTGTCCTCATGAAGTTTAATCTTCCTTAATATACCTTCTTTATCTAATGGTTGCTTTATCTTTCTAAACTGAACTCTACCATCCTTCATAGTATGAATGTAAAAACCTTCTGGAATAGTTCCTGATTTAATGTATTCTACCAAAAACTTTTGTTTCATTGCTTCAGTGACTTTAGTCGTCATTTCAATCAAATAAAAATTTTAATATTAAATAAAAATAACGTTATTTTTTCAGTAAGGAAACGCAGGAGTTTTACGATTTATTTGAGGAGTAGGTTCTGGTTTAAATGTTGGAGTCGGTTTAGGAGTTGACTTTTGAACAGGAGTTTGTACTTCCATAGGTTCAGGAGTCATTGAAGGTTTTGCTTGTGAAGGCGTTGGTTTTGGCGAAGGTGTTGGAGTTTGTTTAACTTCAGCTACTTCAGTATTATTTACAACATTTGCTTTATTTCTTTTCAACATCATAACTGCTCCTGCTGTAGCTAGCAAACCTAGTGGGAGACCATATCTTATATAAGGACTTGACCAAATGCTATTTTTGACAGGAGCTGGTGGAACACCTAACCTTGGTGAGACTGCTCTTTGCCATTGTGCAGCTCGTAAGAAATATTCAATAGGTGCTCCATAATCGTTTGGTAAAGTTTGTTTCATAGATGGTGAAGGTTCACGAGAGCTTGATGAAGAACTCATTTATAAGCTTTAAAAATAAACGTTCATCCTTTATTCCTCACTGTCGTCCGTAGCTAAGTTATAGTCATCTAATCTTATTATTGGTATGCCATTAGCACGCACCTGAATGGCAAAGCAACAATCCCTCATAAATCCAATAAGTGGCTTTGGTACATTTTCAGTTGCTAGTTCAATAGGTCCTTTAACAGACAATTTGTATGTTATTGGAGCAGTAGATGTTTGACCTTGCTGGAAGCAAAAGTCCACTTCTGTTGGAAAACCACATAAGAAATGTGTGTTGTCATAGCTATCCCATTTATGTTCCACACTACCATCATCCACCAATGACCTCATAACATCTTCATTAAATCCTATCATATCATTGTTTGTATTGCAGGCGTTCGCAACCATTTCATAAAATACAGGTCCATATGATTTTTCAGGTTCTGCAGGCATATTTCCATAAGCTCCCATGGAAAGCTGAAGATATTTAAACTTAGGGTTCTCAAAATTAACATAATAGTTGTCTTTCTTTCTAAATAGTGCCCAAATACTTTTAACATTAATAGGCGTATAAGCTGCTGTAAATGTTGCACTTGAACTATCTGTATTCTTTGAGAATGAACCGTCCATAGGAATCCAATCCATAACTTTAACAGGAAAACATAAAGCCTCGTTTGTATAATGTTCTACAAGTTCTGTATAAATGTTAGGGTCTAAAGAGAATGACTTTGGATGAATGAAACATTCATTAAAATCCATCTTTGTTCGAAATAGTTGCTGGGTTACAGTTGTAATAGTAACTGTTCCACTAGCTTCTACTGCCTTCGTTATCATAGTGAATGGTTCATTCCATGGAACAAATTTATTTGTCGGTGGATTTGAATCTGAAGCAAATGCAACTTTAAGAGTTGGATTGAAAGCAATGATATCATTTACAGATATAGATGTGCATTGTAAGGCGTCGCTACTGAACTTTACTTTAAGCTGAATGTTTCCTGCAAAAGCTGGAATAAATCGAATAGCTTCTAATGGAAGGAATCTTCTAACAGGAATTCTTAAACGAAGCTTAAAATCAAATGATTTTCCTGCTGTAATTGGACCACTAACAATTTGTCCTGTTCTGCATGTTCCCGAATGACTCCATACATCTTCATGTCGAGTCTTTGAGAAAACATCTACTTTCTTTATTTGTTCGGTAGTTTGTGAGTTTGAAGTTATATATGCTTCTTCTCTTGCGTTGTCTTGAGAATATACGATACGACCATTTGCAAGGATTTGATATCCAGCAACTGCATAGAAAGCGTCATCGAAACCAATCCAAAATCCTGGTGGGTTTGTTTTATTGGAACCTGAACCAATTTCTTTATCTGCAATAAATTGACCTTCCATTTTATACGTAATGAATGTATTGTAAAGGTCCAACATATTTTCACCAGGAGGTGAGAGATTGAATGTTACCCATGTGTTATCTTTAGCAGTTCCAGGTTGTGATGGAATCTTTGCGTCAGAATATTTTCTATTAGTGTCACCAATTTGAACTGCATTGTCTATGATATCGAAATATGAGCGAATCTGATGAATATGCTCTGCTGGAGTAAATTCGTTTAACTGTTCGTTCTGCATGTATTTACTTCGGATAAAAATATCTATTTACTTCATTATTCTCACTCTTCTTCTTGGCATTCGTGGTGGAAGTTGTTTCTTGACATTTTCAATGAACTGTACATTCTCTTTTGTCTCAACTTCTTTCACTGGTGGGTCAGGGTTCTTTGACTCGGTTTGTTTTTCAATGAAATTCACAAACTTTGCAATAAGCTCTTGGTTCGTTATTGAAAGTACATCTGGCTTCTTTTCTTCTGGTTCTTTTGGTGGCTCAGTTTGAACAGAAGGTTTTATATGGGCTTCGTGGGCTTCGCCCTTGCCATGCACCTTAATGTTGTCGCTTTCTGCATTCGCTAATGGAACCTTTCTTTTTCTTACGTATATTTTACCATCTTTACTCTGACTTACGTAATAGAAAGGATGTTGTATTCCTCTTGCGTCATTTAATATAATAGACTCTCGCTCTGATTTTGACAAGCTCATTTTACATCGGTTAAAGTTTTAATTTTGTTTTTTATCTGCAGTCAAATGACTCAGACAAGCCCTACGGACAAGACCCAAGGGGTCATAGATGTTGAAGCATTGAAGAAAGAAATTCGTGAGCAAATTTTATCCGAACTGAAGGAACAAAAACAAGAACAAAAGCCAGAGAGACCAAAGAGAAAACTTAGTGAAAAACAACTTGCTGCATTAGCTGCTGGAAGACAAAAGAACCCACGTTTGCTGGCGAAGAAAGCTAGAGAAGAAGCAAAAGCAAAGGAAGAACAAAAAGCTAAAGAAGCTGAAGCAAAGAAAGAGTAAATGGTTTATTTTTATCCGAACTAAATGTATAGACAAATACCTTTATCTGTTGCGTTCAGTAGTGAAAACCCTGACGTCAAAATAAAGGGGAACAGAGTAACGTTTAAGTTTCCAACAGACTGGATTGTGAACATAAATGAAGAGAAGTACATTGGCATAACATCTATGTATATAACACGTGCTTTCAGAAAGGTTGACTTTATACTTCAAGTCGAGATAGAAAATGACGAACAGTCTTTAAGCGCCCAAAACATTCACATATACAAATACTTTAAAGACGATACAACATTGTTGCAATGTATGATTTCATTTAATGAGATGTTCGAGAAAAAGTTCAACATTGAAGTACAAACTTTACAGCCTTTACGTGAGTTTCTTGCACAACTGAAAGAAGAAGGTAGTCAGCCACAACTTATAGACTTTCATTATGAATTTAATGAAAATGAAGATGGAACACATGACTGTCAGTTTGTTATATATTCACCATTCAATGAAGTAGCTAAAAAGAAAGAAAATCCATTACGTATAAGATTTCAAATCTCTGAACCAATGAAGACTTCAAAATGTTTTCAATTATGATGCAATGCTTCCGAGGAAAAATGAATTTTCAAAGATTGTAACACCTGGCATTTGGGATAGAAAGCAAGCTATATTATATTCAAACTTAAGTAAGGGAGTTGAAAATGAGTTCATTGGTCATACAAGAACTTCACCACTTCCTAACCCTAAATACTATAAATTAACTGGCTTCAATCGTGAGTTTTGGATAGACATGTTCTCCACTCATGACCATAACTGCCCAGTGTTCTTACCTCCAGACCATAAGGACTGTCTCTACATTGAAGCACAACTCTTAAACTCTACCATCGCAGTATTGTAAAATCTACGCTAGCTTTATTTTTATCACGAATGACCTCATTTCTGACAAAAATAAATGACCTCATTCATGACCTCATTCATGACCTCATTGCTGACAAAAATAAATGACCTCAGAACTTCAACTTACGAATAAAGCTTGTTTTAGTCGTTATTGAGAAGTTAAACTTTTCAGCAAAGCAAGGACTAGAAGACTTACATAAGTCAAATCCAATCTCTTGACCGTCATAAAGTGCTTTATATAACTTCATAACACTGAACTCAGAGTCTTTGTCATATGTTCCTTGCGGAACCATTAAACCTTTATCTTCATCATAGAAACACTGAACAGAGTCAGGAAACATTTCATTAGCGGTTAAAGCAATAACATCTTGCTTCACGCCTTTCATTCTGCAGTGAAATGCAACTTCATTTAAATCATTCGTGAGTAAGTCTATGTAAGTCTTCTTTCCACAAAATATTGACTTGTATGCTAAACTTTGTTTTCCAGGTGTTATTTCTGCGAAGTCACTATGAAACTGACCAAGGTTTTTACCAATGAGAACTCTTCCATAACGTTTCTCAAACTCTTCAGCTAAACGAGGGATATCTTCATTGTAGAGATGCATACTGTCGGTATCGCTATAAAAGATGTCCATTCCTAAGTCCTCAGCAGTACAGAATACTTCACACATTATTCTCTTCGACATTGATAGAATGTTAACACCAAGTGGACAGAAGTTAAAGTGTCTGCAAATGCTTTTCGTTAGCTTGAAAATAGTTTTATCTGAACCATCCAAACCTTCGAACTTCACTATATGGTTGTAGTTTCTGATGGCATATCTTATAGCATCTTTGTCATCTACTATGGTTATTTTTGACTCAATAGGAGATAGAATAGTTTTGCCATAAATACTGTTCAGAATGAGCTTTATATTTTCTTGCAAAGGATTTCCTTCTTTCTTATACTTTAACCTTAACTCAAACAACTTCTTTACTTCATCTCTTATTCTAATATCTCTGTTTCCATCGTAATAGTATCCTTGCAACACTTCACATTTGACACCTTGATATTTTATGAGGTCTTGTAATGTTATATGGTCAACATACATTAAACAGCAAGTGTTTGAACTTCTGGGAACGTTAAGTTCTGGATTTAGTTCAGGGTCACAAACTATTAAAGGAAAGTGTCTATGTATTCCAATCTCTGTTATCTTAATGAGAACAAAGAAGCCAGACATAAACTTTTCACCAATGGGTTCCTTTTGGTCGTCATCGAATAAATGTCTCATGAGATACTCTGTGCTTAGCATCTCATCCTTCATAACCTTTGGAATTCCTTCTAAAGTATAAAGTCTTGCTATAGCGGATGGATATAATGAAACAGCGTCGAAGTCAGCAATGAGTTTCTTTTCGCTCTTTTGTTTCATGTTATCTGACAACATACATCTTCCACCTTGAATACAGCGTGAAATAAATTCTCTTGGTTTATTTGAGAGGTCATAAAGATTTCCATTCGGGAAGTATACTCTGTTCTCAAATAATTTGTTAGCAATAGAACAAATACTAACGTAGTCATAAACGTTTAAATCAAATTCTTTCAATAAGTCATTGCGGAACTTAACAAAACCTTCTCTTAAAATTCTTACATCTTGTTTGCAATAAAACGTGCTATATTTTTCTAAGTCGAAGTGGTTCTCATCTATTCTGCAACCTTTGATGGAATCTATGTTTTTCATGAATGTATCTGCATCCCGGATAAACTTACAAGCTTCAGAAATGACACCAGTTCTGTTGTCATTTGCTAACAAAGTACTGCTGTAGTAGTTATATGGAAATACTTCTTTCGGTCCTGTTTGTAAGTTAAACATAGCAGGAAATAGTTTAAGCTTCTTATTTATAACACTGTAAGAGTCTTTTATAATAATTGCCCGTCCTTTATATAAACCAGTTATTTGCATTGTTCGTGAACCTTTAATGATGGGAGTTCCTTTCACTTCTGTCATGTGTCTTAAGATGAAGTTTATATCATAACTGAGGTTATGGAAATATATTAAACTCTTGTCAGGAAGTCGTTCCAAAAATTCTGTTGCACAGTTCTGACCCCATATGCTTTCACTCACTGAACCATCTTCACTGTCATAACAGATGTTAAAAGCTTTATGAAAGCCATCGGTACTGCACTCAAAGTCAGCAAAGAAAACATGCTCAGGAATGAACTTACATTTAGCTTTATTTACTTCTTTTGACTCTGCTTTCTTCTTCAGTTGTACACAATACTTTGGAGCATATGTCAAATCTTTAAATGGTGCAAGGTTCTGTTTATATAAGTCAGTCGTATATGTGAAAAGTTCTCCATAAGAAATAGGTTCAAAATATTTGCACTCCCACAATGTTTTCATAACATCCCATAACGGTGTTGTTCTATCCATGCGAACAATGTATTTACCATCTCTCTTTGTATAAATCTTCATTTGTTTCTCAATGTTCATTCCACCACACTCCTTCAAGATTTCTATATAGTTGCGAATGAAATATGTTGTCATTGGTAGTATCTTTCGTTTAGCATGTAGTGGTCTTCAACAAGAAGTAAGTCAATAGTTCGAGCAGTTTCACATTCTTTTGGTATATATCTCTTTATTTCATTATGTCTTGAGTCATTGAAATAACCAATGGTAACATTAAATGCTATACCTGTTGCGTCAGAAATTTCTTGTACTTTACTTTGAGGAAAGTCTCTAACACGAATGACTTCTCTCATGTGGTCAATAGTCTCCATCTACTCCAGCCTGAATGCAAGCATAAACGAAACAATTGTCTTCTGTCATAAGTGTTGCAGTTCTTTTGTTCAGTTCATTGAAGATTTGGTAGCGCTCAAGATTTATAGGTAATGTGCAAAGATACTTCCAGAACTGACCGCTTCTCTTCTTATAAAACTTCTTTTCACCATTATCTTTCCAAAAGCTTTCTATAAGTGCTGGGTTTCCTGTTTGCTTAAGAGCTTCCAAAATGGCTTTCTGGTCATTTGTCAGTGTGCTTTCATCTCTATATGGTCGCTTCTGTGGCTTTCCTTTCTTTAACATCTGACATCGTTAAGCCTTCATATTCTGTTAAATCATACATCTTTATTTCGGTAAGATTCTTTATGTTTGTCAAGAAGAAGTCATAGTGCATTTCAACAATACCTGCAGCATTTGCTTCTATCTCTGATATAAAGTTCTCCTTCAAGAGCTGATGTAGTAATGTTCCAATATTATTGAGGTTTAACGTAGAACATTCATACTTTCCACCAAGTTTATAACATACCATCCATCTTTGTTGGGAGTTTATTTTAATCTTCTCTAAGAGTCTCATGAAAACCTTACCGAAATGTTTGTGTAAGTAGTCTCTGTTTGGTTCATCTAAAGCTTCGATGTTAAAGTCAATGAGTCTATTGCCTGACTTCACATTTCTCTTCCTATTCTCTTCATCTTTCTTTAACCATCTCTCACCTTCTTTTGGTTTGTCGTCAATGGAACGAATGACATCGTTAGCTTTGCGAACTTGTTCTATAGCACTTTTAAACATCTCTCTTCTCTGTTGTTTCAGTGTGTCGTCTCTTCTTCTTGTTTCACCAACGTTCGCATTTGTTATGTCAAACATCTCACGCCTTACTTCATGAGGTACTGAACGTCTATGATATAAGTCAATAGCAATGTCATTTAAAGGAAATGCTATTGCATGAACTTCGTCCTCGCCGCGTTGCGGCTTTATGAACTCATGAATTCTATCATAACTTATTGCACCATTATAGTCATTGAGGATGTCAGCGAGTGCCTTTTTGTTTGTTGCGTAATGCTTTGCAACATCTATATTAGCTTCTGTAAGAAGTTGTTTTATTTCCGAGTGTTCTAACTTAGACAACTTCCGATACATCTTTAGTAGGAAATAAAAAAATATTTTTTGAAAAAATTAGATTAGATTTTTTTTAAGTTATTTTTCAAAATAATTTAATATTTTTATTTTAATGAAACACATGCAAGATTGCAAGTTCTTTTCATACAATGCTCTCGCTACTGCCATCAAGAATGAGTTCAATGGTGCTTCAAACGTTAATGTTATCTTTAACAAGAAGTTTGTGAAAGAATCTAAGTTTGGTCAGTATGTCAGACCATTAGCTATCGTCATTGACCGCAAACGTTATACTTCACAAGAGTTAGCAGTAGTTTTGAAACAAAAGAGTTTCTTCGTCAATGTCAAAGATACACACTATACTGTCATAAAGAACTCTAACATTGACTTCTTCAGTATTGCTTTAAATCTTTCCGAACAGAAAGAATATAAGAAGGGTGAAACAAATGTGAAATATTATCCTTCATCTCTGAAGACAATAACGAACAAAGATGTTATACAGAAATTCTTACCAAAGGTTGAAGAAGCTTCTATTGACATTGACGAAGGAAGTGAAATGGTTGAAGAAATAGACCCTGAAGCTATTTAAGCAAAAATATATTTTTGGTTAGTCTTCATATGGATATTTTACAACAATTCCCCAATGTATAAACTTTTCATACGCTTTTTCATAAGCTTTATATACCTTCAGAAATTTTGCATAATCTTTAGAAGCATTTAGATATTGTTTAAATGCTTTGTATGTCTTCAGAAATTTTGCATAATCTTTTACATGTTGTTCGTTCTCTTCTTCTGTCATGAGTTCCGAATATTCTAAATTCATGTTCTTTCATATGAGATAAAATTTTATAAAAAAATAAAATTAGCTTAGATTTTTTTATTCTTCCTCTTTGAAGTTGTCGAAATATTCTGTTATCTTTTCCTTCAGTAGCGGTAAGTCTTCTTTGAAGGTAAGTATTGTACAACCTTTGATGTCATAGTGTGTTTGAGGAAGAGTATTTTTGACAATTTCCTTTATTTGCTCATTCGGTGTCATTGAAATCGGTAAGTTTTCACGATAGAACCAGTTTCTGTCAGATTTGTAAATCTTAGCAAGGTCGTAAAAGCTTTTGTTGTTTCTTCTGACTAAATGCAACATAACCATATCTCTATCTTCTTCTTTCTCCAACTCTTCAGCGTAAATCATATACTTATAACTCTTTTCCTTTCCTTTTGGTACCGAACGTGGTATTCTTTTCTGTATGCTTTTGTCTTTGGATTCAATGACTTCATCTTTTGCTTGAAGTTTCTTTTCCATCTCTCCACGTTCTGCTTTATATAGTTCATCTAACATCATGAAAATATAACAAGCATAACGAGGTGAAGCCCACATTGCTACAGCATTTACAAGAAGTCTATGAACATAATAACCTTTCAAACCAGGTGCCAAATTCTTGCGATTTTCGTACGGAATCTCTTCCCTCGGTTTTCCGAGGGAAGCAATCATATGAGGAAATTCTTCTAAAAGTTCTTTGCCTGTTGGTTTTCAAACCAATGATATGCTTGCTTTGTAGAAAGAAGAGCATTCATTATACTTTGCATTTGGTACATGTCATCTTTGACTGAACGAATGAGTCTCAATTGTTTGTTATACTGTATGTATTCGTATTCTTCATTTATGGCTTCATGAACGATAGCAGTTGTTGTGTTCTCTGTTGTTGACATATCTGTCTTTACATACAAAATAAAAAAATAAATAAAAATAAAATTAGCGTTATTTTTTCTATCTTTCACAAAAGACCAAAAATAAACGCTTTACATGTATTTTTCAGCAACTTCGTCAAATAATTTTATAGCTTTATCTATCTCATCTACTTCAAACGTTTCTTTACCTTTTATGGGAGCACCATACATTTTCTCAAACTTTTCGAGTAGTTCTGTTTCTGCGGCTCTCATATCATTAACGAACACAACCTTGACTCTATTGACTGTACTGTCATATCTTTGAGTTATATTATATGTCCTTCCTATCTTATATCTTTTTGTGTTGAAGTCCTTCGGTTTCTGAACGATGTAAAGTAAGCCTTCACTGCAACGTTCCGTATCGAATGAACCATAAGTTATGAAGTTATATCCAACAACTGGGTCAATCCATAACAAAACTATTGGTATAAGACTTTTGTCGATGAGATATGCTGTAGTTCCATAGAATCTTACTGATATCATAAGCTCAGGATTTCTTGTCAAAATTTTCTGAGTTGAAGCATTTCTAACCCAGTCGTGTGTTTTCTTTCCAGATGGAAATATAATGTCTGACAAAGAATATTTGTTGTATTTCTTTGAGTATCTTACGTTTAAATCACCTATTCTAACCAATTTGGTGTCATTGTCTATCTTTCTAACTGTTTCAAACTCAATGTTTGACATATATGTCTTTACATACAAAATAAAAAAATAAATAAAAATAAAACTAACTTTATTTTTTCTGTCTTAAGGAAATTCACGATTTTTGTTGCTGAATTCAGCAAAAATATATTTTAGGGTAGATGGTTAGATCTAACCTCATTTCTACCCTCTTTTCTACCCCAGTTATTTTATAAGCGTTTTACATGGTAAACGTTATTTTTTAAATTTTGTGAAAACTCAACGGTTTGACACATGCCCTAAAAATTATTTTACTCAGAATTTTGTTGCTGAATTCAGCAAAAATAATGTTTAGGGTAGAAGGTTAGATCTAACCTCATTTCTACCCTTTTCTACCCCAGTTATTTTATAAGCGTTTTACATGGTAAACGTTATGAATTCGTGAGACTTTAAACAGTTTTGTAGCTTCTATTTCTTCTTTTAGTACATCGAATGTTTTAACAATGCCGAAAGTTTCTTTATATTTCTTCTTGACATCAGATAATAGGAAATCGTCAGCAGTTGGATAGTTTTTGTTCAGAAATGCTAACATGTCCATTTTATCTTCTGCTGGTTTTTCTGCTTCTTTCTTTAAGTCTGCATAGTCGTTTCTCATACGTTCTATCTCTTTGACGGAGTAGTTATATCTCCTCATTGCTGCTTTACATTTAGAACATTGCGGGTTCATTTTTGCGTTATACATTGAAATAAAACCAGCTAAAACAACTAAAGCGTCAATTGCTCTCTTCATCTCAAACATAGCGGGTCTTATTTGTTTGTTCCATACCTTACCTCTTCTATCTTTATCTCTTATCTGCCATACACATTCAGCAACTAACGAAACAAAGTTGTCGTAGGTCTTAAATTCTTCAGATTTATATATGTCAGAGATGTTCTTATATACCATGTCGCAATCTTTGTCCATAACCTTATGGTTGCAATGAAATCCTAGAAACTCATAGTTTACCTTTCGTATGAACTTCTTTATTTCTACTGAGTCAGTTGCTTTGACTTCAATTTCATCGAATTCAGGAATAGTGAGTTTTTGTTGTTGGATTTCAGGTAGTTTGGGTAAATGGTCGATGAGGTCCTGCATTTCATAAAGATACTGTTCATTTGTTTCATCTTTCGCACTACAGTCTAAATTACTTGTTAAAAGTTCTTGCTTTATCTTCTGGATTTCTGTTTCAAAAGTATATGAAGAAGGAATGAAGCTTTTCATTTCTACTAACATTGACGTAGGATTCATGACTAGCGAGTTTGGTGCTGTTGTTTGAATTGTTGTTGTGCCGATTGTTGAAATCATGTCTTTTATACAAAATAAAAAAAATAAAAAAAATAAAACTAACTTTATTTTTTATTTCGGGAAAATTCATGAAAATTCAAGAGGGTAGAAATGAGGGTAGAAATGAGGGTAGAAATGAGGTTCGAAATGAGGTTAGATCTAACCATCTACCCTAAAATATATTTTTGGGTCCTTTACACTCATTACGAAGAAGTCTTGACAAAACATTTACGAAGAAGTCTTGACAAATTCAAGAGGGTAGAAATGAGGTTAGAAATGAGGTTAGATCTAACCATCTACCCGACATTCTCGTCAAATACAAAAAAATGACACTTTTTCATTAGATAACTGTTATTTTTTGACGAAGTGAAGATTGACACTTCGTCAAAAAAATCCCTGAAATCATGTCTTTACATACAAAAAATACAAAAAATGACACTTTTTCATTAGATAACTGTTATTTTTTGACGAAGTGAAGATTGACACTTCGTCAAAAAAATCCCTGAAATCATGTCTTTACATACAAAAAATACAAAATAAATAAAATAAAACTAACTTTATTTTTTATTTCGGGAAAATTCATGAAAATTCAAGAGGGTAGAAATGAGGGTAGAAATGAGGTTAGATCTAACCATCTACCCTAAACATTATTTTTGGTCATGGACTTCGTCCTCGCCGCTTTGCGTCTTTATGTTAAAATAAATGGTACCATTAATGATATCATGACTGTTCTCATTCATGTCTGATTTACATCCAACGAAAAAGTTTAGAAGAATTTTCTTATTCTTTCTGGCATGTTTTTGTCTTTCCAATACTCCCGCTCTAATGGTCCCAGATGTGTTGGCTTTGACTCTCTCAAGTTCTTAGATGGTATAACATCTTCAACGCCTCCTTCATATCTTACTTTATAAGTGTCATCGTTTATGTTGTAGCCAAGTATTTCAATAACCACTCCTCGCTTTGCTTCGTCAATGGTTTCAGCAAGTTTGCCATTACTACTTTCGACTAATTTATGACGAGGGTAAAATGCAATGGAGTCGTCAGCAGCTTTTATAAGATATCCATTACCTTGCGTAGAGTCTACGATATAATAGTTTCTACTTAACCTTAAACGTTTCTTTGTCAACGGTTTGTCGTCAAGGACTACACGAACTTTTGTACCAGGAATGAGGGTAAATTGTGTTGAATTTCTGATATTTTGTGTTTGACTTCGTTTCTTTTGTATATACTTTTCTTCTTGTTGTTGTGTCATTGAATTTGGTGTATGTCCTGTTGTAGAATGTGTTGAGGAATTATATACTTCGAGAAAATGTTTCATTGTTTCTTCGATAAAGTCTCGCTCTTGGTTTAAATCTCTGAGAGTCCTTATGAAGCGGTTTATGATGCCGAGTATGTTATGGTTATGGTCTTCAGTAGTGTAGTGAGTTATGTTATGCTTAATGAGAAAATCTGTGATTTCATTGCTGAGGTATGCACTGTCTTGGTCTGATGTTAAAGTACTTGGGTTATGTTCTGCTACAAACTTTTGTAAAACTCTTAACACTTCATGAGTTCCTTTATTTTTCATTGGATATGCATATGCTTTACGAGTGTTAACATTAATGAAGATGAGGAATGGTTTATGTCCTCCTTTTCTGCTTTGAATGAGAGTGTCAAATTGGTATGCGTCAGGAGCGTTGGAGTAAATTGGTAAAAAGTAGTCGTAAGGGTTTATTTTTGTTTGATGTACAACATTTTTGTCAAAGAACCTTTTCACTTCAGCTCTGTTAGTAAATCCCCAACTCTTTGCAGCTTCATTGAATTTTTTAAATGACCTCCATGGATGTTGTTCGAATACTTCTTTCAAGCTCATTTATGTAAAGTTAAAGATTTTAACCAACTCGTATCCAAGCGTGTATTGTTATATAAGGAGGCATATAATCTTTTCCATTACCTGCTGGGTCTGTAATACCAGCTACAACATGTGTATGATTTCCTGCGGTTCCACAGAAAATACCTGTGCTTGAATCTACTGGGTCAGTTGTGATATCATATCTATGCATTCCCTGTCTATCCGAACCCGCTGCAAGATTTGTATAACCTCTTTTTGTTATTGAATGTGAATGGTTTCCTTCCACAGATGTTCTTCCACTGAACCTATGCATATGTGAAGGAAGGTTTTCAATACCTATTTTCTTTGAACCTCCCATCTTCATTGACTGCGTATTAGTGTAGAATGGAAAACTGTCAACTATTTCATACCATCTACCACCAAATAAAGTGTTTGGATTTATTGGATTCATAGACGTATAAACAGCTCCTATAGGATATATTAAATCATATATGCTCATAACTCTATAAACATATTCTAAAGAACTTATGTCATTAAATACCATTTGGAATGTATCTCCCGGATGAAATGTTGCATTTGTTCCACTTTTATAATGTAATGTTAGTTCAATAGAATTATCCAAGAAAAATTCAAAAGTATCTGGTTGAAGACCTCTAACAAATTCAAATGGAGTTGCTGGTTCACCATTTATAATTTCTGTTGTAAATGTCATTGTATCTGGTTTCGAAAATTTCTTTGTTAGTTCTGCATCCACATAAGTTTTGTCTGCTTTCTTATCTAACATTGCGGGTAGTTCATGTGCTTCAAAGTTTCTGGCATGACTTTCAATATTCCTGCAACTCTTATCTAAATTGTTAAGAGTATCTTTTACGCTTGTACTCGGATTCTCTAAAGGTGCACTTGAACCAAGGTCAAAGTTCAATATTACATCGTCTGCTCTAACAGTAGTGAAGGATTTATGTGTATGATTTTTGTCAGCTTTCTTATC